ACAGGTAGTGAACAGAGTACCTGAACAGGTAGAGAACACAGTACCTGGACAGGTAGAGAACACAGTACCTGGACAGGTAGAGAACAGAGTACCTGGACAGGTAGAGGTAGAGTGTGTGTAAGCTCCGTAAATGTTCACCAGAGACACAAAACTCTTTGTAACGTCATATATGTTAAAATATAGATATTGATTCTATAATTCTCTAATATTGATAAACGATGTTTCTTCAGACGTTTACAACGTCAGACTGAGTTTGTCTTTATTTTAGATTAAAACAGCTCATAACTTCAGTTTATGTTCTCCTGTGTTCTATTGTGCTGTGAGACTCCTCCTCTCAGGTGACCTGGTGTGTGTGTGTGTGTGTGTGTGTGTGTGTGTGTGTGTGTGTGTGTTAATTACAAACAGGCTGATGACTTCTTGTATTGATCGCCTGTCTTCTTTATGTTTTTAGTTTATTTCACTTTGACACACGCAGTTAAAGTTATTCATATTAATATTATCAGTGTTATGTAAATAAACAGTTACTGTGCAGTAATAAAAAGTCACGGTATTATTCTGAACTTTTATTTATTTTGAAGCAGCTTATTAATGTTTAAACTGTATTACACAATTTAAGTTCTAATCATTTCAGTCAATCTATATTTGATCTTCTTTTCTATTTTAATGTATTTAATATTTTATATCAATGAAAATAACACAAAACTGTTTTTATTTTATGAGTGAGACTTTCAAATAGTAACAACAACACAGAAGTGAATGATTGGTTCATTTGATCTTAAACATGTGGACAGACTTTCATTTAAAACACAATAAATACATAAAGCATATAATAATCTACATAAAGATTCAAATATCAAAACCATGAATATAACTTGTTGTCATTAACATTATCAATAATGAACATAAAACCTGTGAGGTTAAAAAGATCAAAAGTGAAACCAAAAGAATAAAGTCAACACTTTAATAACTCATCTGAGATATAAAACATATTATTATATTATATAAAAAAAAATATTTCAATAAAAGAAAAATCCTTCATTCACAATGTTACTGAAACTTAATGTTTAAAAAACTCAGTATATTAAAAAGTACAATAATGATGTACCTGTAGAGTATGAAGTAGTACAGAATCAAAGATACTCAAGTAAAATACAAATACATCAACTGTACTTGAACTTAAACACATTCCATCACAGAGAAATATTACAAAACAAAACTTTAACAAAAGATAAAAAACAGTGAAAAGTTTGAAGTGTTTTAAAGTCACTTTATTTTCTTTCACTTGTTTGATGAACATGTTTATGACGTTGTTATTATGAGTCTATTAATAAACTCATCTAAAGATTTTAAACATATTTGAATGTTTTCATTGACACTAAATGAAAAGTTTCGTTTAGAGTTCGAGAGAAGTTCATTTGTTGCTTGTTTGATATTTAATGTTTGTTTTTAACATTTAGATTTATCATTAATATCATTAATATTACTATTATTATCATTATCATTATTATTATTATTACTATTATTATTATTATTATTATTATTACTATTATTATTATTATTATTATTATTATTTAACACACAACAACAACATGAATAAAAACGAAAAGTGATGAAGCGACTGACAGGAAAAGAAGCGGAATAAACAATAAACAATAAATAAATAAATAAATAAATAAATGACGCCGTCGCTCTGACTGACGACATGTTATGTCGTTGTTTTACCGTTTTACCGTCATTTGTAAGTTTGTCTCTCTGAAGGCGGCCTTTGAAATGCAGCAGCGGACTGTCATGCAAATGTGTCCGATAGAGAGGAGACTGTAGGGGGGGGGCACGCTGTGGATTCTAGTCTTTAAACGTGGCTTTAACTCCGCGGATGAAAAGAGGTGACAGGTGGTTCATGTGTGGTGACACCGAGGATGAGGAGGAGGAAGAGGAGCGAGGGAGGAAGGGAGGAAGGGAGGAAAGGAGGAAAGGAGGAAGGGAGGAAGGGAGGAAAGGAGACTCTGAGGGAGGGCGATAAGGGCCATAAAGTGTCCATGTGACCGGCAGCGGTTTTTAACGGGCGTGCAGCTGATGGAGCGCGCGCACAGAGAAAGAGAGATAGAGAGAGAGGACAGGTGGAGGTGAGGACAGGTAGAGAGAGAGAGAGAGAGAGAGAGAGAGAGAGAGAGAGAAGACACAGCGAGGCTCACTTTACCTGTCGACCAGGTGAGAGAGCGCGCGAGGAGCGAGGCAGGCTGGACCCGCAGTATGCTGAGGGAGTCCCCTCACCTGGAAAGATGTACGTGAGCTACCTGCAGCTGGACAAGGACCCCGCCATGTACCCGCACCAGAACCCGGTGGCCCGCCACGCGGGCCTGAGCCTCAGCAGCCCGCAGAACTTCCAGGGCCCGCCGCAGTACTCGGACTTCGCCGGGTATCACCCGCACCACTCGCACCCTCACCCGCACCACCACAGCCTCAACAACGACTCTCTGTCGGCCCAGCAGGTCGGATCGGGCACCGGCGGCTGGAGCTCGGCCTACCCGCCTCCACCGCCTCCAACGCGGGACGACTGGTCGTCGCACCATTACGCGGCAGCGGCGGCGGCGGCCGCAGCGGCCGGGGGTCCCCCCTCCGCATCCACCGGTGTGGGTCCCACCCTGGGGTTCAGCCCCCCGGAGTTCTCCGGACAGTCCGGCCTGCTGTCCACGTCCCTGAACGCATCATCTGCGGGACAGCTGTGTCCCGGATCCCCGCAGAGGAGGAACCCGTACGACTGGATGCGGCGCAGCTCCGCACCGCCCTCCAACCCAAGTAGGACTTTAACACAACTTTATATATTGAATCATGATCGTATTGATCCTGCAGATGATGCGGATTTCTACACCTCGTTTTACATGTTCTAGTTTCTAATGAATACTAATAGTTAATAATCTTCCTGCTGCACTTTAACCTTCATTTAGAATATGTTGGACATATAACTGCATGATTATGTATTATAATTATATATATTATACGTTCTCAGATGTGTGACTTCAGATAACAGTCAAACTATTACTGATTCAAGATGTGAATGAATGTTTCAGCTCTTATTACTTTATCTTCATTATTTATGGCCTAATTGTTGTTGTGGGGGGATACAGAGCAACTTTTTTTCAGGCGACATGAAAGTTGGGCAACCGGGACAACTGAGCTGCAAAACACCGAATAATCATGATTTAAATGTGAATATAAATATGATATTTAAAGAGAAGAAATCGTCTAAATAATAATGTAGCCCTTTTTATAAAAACACAATAATAATAATAATTAATAATTAATAAAAGCGGTTTCGTTTGTTGTTTCATACGTTTTTTAGATTTTCTTAAATTCTGTTTTATTATTCCTTCATTCTATAATTATATATTATTGTTATTTCTCTGAATATTTAAAGTATTTCTCTCATTTTGGGACCTTTTTCTTCATCTGTCTGTTTGATGCAGAAGCTGAAACAGCGCAGCAACAATCGATCATCTTCACAATATAAAGAAACTCAATAATAATGTTGAGAGGTGAAATATTCCGATATCGATAGTTAGGTCTCCTCGTTCCCACCGAGGTCCCGGCGTCCCAGCGCGGATCAAACGTGTGAAGCCGGTTTAGAGGCGGTGTGAAGCCGTTGTGATGCTAATGTGCCCCACCCCCCCCACCCCGGCTGGAAGCGACTCCGGGCGGCTGAGCTCGGCCTTTGTCCTCCGCTTGTCCCTGGGCGGAGAAGACAAGAGTTTACAAGACAGTCCGCACTTTGAAGTGTGTGAAGTGTGACCCGAGAGAGAGAGAGAGAGAGAGAGAGAGTGTGTGTGTGTGTGTGTGTGTGTGTGTGTGAGTGTGTGTGTGTGTGTGACTTTTTCATCCCACAAGGTGGGATGCACTAATCCATTAATCAATTGTAAGAATATGAATGCATATATAATAAATATATATATGTTATATATTTTTTCATGCAGTTTAAGGATTGAAGAAGCAAACAATGAGACAAAATGAACCAAGTCCTTCAGGAAGAGAACCAGACCTAGACACTCATTTTAAATAGGGGACACATGTCCCCCATTGACTTACATTGAGAAAGAGAGACATAGGTCAGTTTGAGGTAAATCAACTTCCCAGGATGAACATTTGAATCGTTCTTATTTAAATCAGATATCCCATGCTTTATTCATCTCAGGGGGAAATCTTATTAACGTAATCATGAAGGAGGAAGTATAAATAAAGTAGAAACACGAACTTGGCCGTGGAAATGGAACAGAAAGTCGTCTCTGAGCCAGAAGACGATGTTTGTTCTTCATGTGAAACAAGAAGTCAGTGGTGATTTATTCATCACGTAACTTTCGTAATTAGTTACTTCTGTATTTATTTTACGATCTTTTCTTAAACATAACTAAGTTGTTTCCTGTGAAGACAGAAGTTTATTTTGAAAAGACTGTTTTCATGTAACGAGCTGAGATTGAGACGTGTTGCTGGACTTTCGTAGGAAAACGTAAACGGTACGTTGACTAAATCCAGAGTATTTCTTCTTCCTCTGGTCACGTGAAAGAGAACGAGGATGGACCGAAGGATGGTAGCTGAGCTAAAGGAAACGCTATGTAGCTGGTCTGTTGACTCTAAATGGCCCCTAAAACATCCCCTGCTTTATGGTCTGTGTGACTCTAAATGGCCCCCAAAGCATCCCCTGCTTTAAGAAGACTTGAAGCTAGAGATTGAGACCATAAACTCATGTTTACAATGTTTACTGAGGTAATAAATCAAGAGAGAAGTAGAGTCATTTTCTCATAGACTTCTATACAACCAGAGGAGTCACCCCCTGGTGGACACTAGAGAGAATGCAGCTTTAACACATGAAGCTCTGGAGAACTTCAAAGAACCAGAGAGGGCTGGGAGGCACTATTTAAATGAAGCTTGCCGCCATAATTGAAGATTGACGATAATGTTAGCTAAATGTTGTACTCGGAAGACGAACGTTTATTTTTCCTTCATGTCCAGACTGTGAGCTGACAGTGTGAACAAAACCAGAGTGTTCTGTTGGTACGGAGCCAAGTTCATCAAGTTCATCAAGTTCATCAAGTTCACATATTTCATGAGGGAATCTTAAAATCAGTGATGGGAGTGCTTTGATATCTTTATCGTGATTCGATAGTTTTAATGTGAGATGAGCAGCTCGTTAAACTGAACCTCAAATTAGTTTCTTCTTCTTCTTCTTCTTCTTCTCTCCCTTTAATCATCAGTCACAGGAAACAGTTTACTGCACAATGAGTACTTTTACTGCATGAAGCTGAGAAAAGTTGTGTACTTTTACTACATAAAGTTGAGAAAACTTGTGTACTTATATTGCATAAAGTTGAGAATAGTCATATTCATTTACTGCATGAAATGGAGAACACTTGTGTACTTGTACTGCATGATGCTGAGAATACTTGTGTACTTTTACTGCATTAAGTTGAGAATACTTGAGTACCCATACTGTGTGAAGCTGAGAACACTTGTGTACTTATACTTGTAAGCTTTGAGTACTCACTTTATTGAATCTTTCCATCAACACTTCACTCATAAATTAGCTTGTTTTGTACGAATTCCGACTTTTATTTCGGCACTAAACGTTTGTTTCCTTCATATCGTAGACTTTAAGATGGTTTTTAACGGTCATGTGACGGTAAAAACCCGACTGTACATTCACGATATAACAGTATACATCACAAAATAGATCAAATATCTATTAACGTCACCTTAAACGACATATTTGTTTTGCTTTTTCAGGCTCGTCCGTCTTACTTAGCGGCAGGTCGGACATGTCGGAGTGTCCGTGTCATAATAATGACGTCCTGGAAACTGGTAATTATAATAAATGTGCTCAGATGTGAAGCAGTGATGAATACCAGATCAATATAAGCAGTTAGTAGAGGAGAGCTTTCAGGTACTCCCCTGATGTTTGTATTTATTTTTCTCATTATTTACTTCAGTTTTACCGTTTCAGGCCTAAAGTCACAACGTCGTCTTAAGGGCTTAACTCACTGATGTTGACAGTTTGAACTCTAAAACGTGCAGTAAAATGAAGAGATTTGTGTTCCTGGCATCACAGGGAAGACATTGAACGAGCATTTAGACAATTATACATATTAAATATGTTAATATACTTTAGACTCCAGTATTTCTGCTCATGGCTCACAGTCAGAGATGGCTTCATTTTAAAGGAACAGTTTTCAACTTTTGGGGAAAAGTTTCAGACACGATGCTTCTGTAGATTTAACGTTAAGCAGCTTCGGGTGTTTTTTCTCTTTTCCTGCTGTGCTGCTCCTCCAGAGAACAGAACCATGATGAGTAGAACCAGAACACGTCCTCAGTGCAGAACAACAGTTATGATGTCATCAATCACTCAAGAGAAGAAAAAACACAATTTAAATGTCTTTGATCATTTATTTTACAGAAAATTGGCAAAACTAGACTCTATATAATATTGTTGATTAAAATTATTAACGATGTTGGGTGGGGGGGTGGCTCTACGTGTTATAAATATTAAACTATTGACATGTTTCAGCCTCTCTCCTCTCCTCTTCTCTCTCCTCTCCTCCCCTCTCTCTCCTCTCTCCTCTCTCTCCTCTCCTCCCCTCTCTCTCCTCTCTCCTCCCCTCTCTCTCCTCTCTC